CTGGTAATATTTTATTTTTAAAAAATATACTACTGGTAATAATGTATTGTTGGTAATAACTTTTTTTTTTTAAATGTATTGCTGGTAATAATTTTCCAAAAATGTAATGCTGGTATTATAATATATTTTTATACTTTCATATTGTTTTGAACCATTCTAGGCGGGGAGGGGGTAATTATTTGCCCGTTGTTGGGACCCTAACTGGTGCTACCACACCGGGTCAGGGTGGATCTTCGAACATCAGCAATTAAGTGATGATTCCACGCTCCTAAAACTCTCCAGATCAAAGGCTTTGCTGTCGGATGTAGTTTATCGTCTTACCCCAGAAGCAGATGTAGTTTATCGTCTTACAAAGAGCGCGGATGTAGATTATCGTCATACTCAGGACGGTACAAGGGCTGCAATATGAACCCAATGTGTTGACTCGTCTGGCGAGTAATATATTCTAAATAATCGGTTTCGTATATGTAGAATTGGTGTCCGACCTTGATTATAAGTCAGCCCTTTGAAGGTCTTTTTTTTTAATTCCCTGCAGCGAACAGTGCCTCCACCTTAAGCATTTCAGTATTTTTTTTACGTAGAAATGACAAAGACAATAAGATGATTCGAAATACTTGTGTGATCACCGAGTATCCAAACTAATGAACTGGCAAAAGTTGTGCTTAATCAGAAATCGAGATTCTGAGATCCGACCACGCATTTGGCTACGAAATAAGCATTCCAAAAGCAGGTGCCTAGAAACGGAAAAATGTCGTTAGAAAAAAAGAAAAGAGTTCTACATTGATATGTGATATCATCTTATGCATAATCTCCTCCCAGCAGGTATGGGTTTGAATGTACGACTTGTAGATGGGAAAATATTTAATCAATATTCACACCCCCGAAAAACAATATTCTTAAAATCCAAAACGTTTTTCCGTTTTACATAACTGTGCGTCATACTAGTTGACTTTGACGAAAAACCGTCTTGGGTTGGGGCACCTTAATCCTATAAAAAAGCGTGCATTAATCTCCCTAGCTTCTTTTACAGATTTTCAACTCTGCACTTGATATAGTCTCACGTGCGTTAAGTGCCTCCCACTGAGGCGCATTCATTTTCATGGTTTTTCTCTCTTGACTTTTTACTCACTCACACATGGTTGTTACGCACACATAAGTATATATCTTGTTTCATGCTTTTTTTTCACTTCATTTCATTGTAATGCATGCGTAGTCGTTTGTTTTATAAGCATTGTTTATTGTTTATCATTTCTACTCACACTGACTCCACAAATATTGTCTTCGAGATAAATTATCCCAGAGTCCGTAAATCTTTACTATCCAAAATGTTAATTCACCCAACATAATGCTGAATAAATATTTACCCAAACATTATAGGGTCCTACAACGTAACCGACAAAGGGTTTGATAAGATGTAAAAAGCAAATCAAACAAAGAAAATACAAGCTTACTCATGCTGTGCATGGAGATTTTTAATAAGGGATAATAGAATCCAATCTGCAAAATAAACTCTTTAGAATATAATTATCCTGTCTTAATATTATGATATGATTATGGTATATTATATTATGATATGATTATGATCCATTATATGATATGATTATGATCCGTTATATTATGATATGATTATGATCCCTTAATTTTATTATGATAGGATTACGATTCATTATATCATGATATGATTATGATCCATTATATTATGATATGATTAGGAACCATTATATTATGATATGATTAGGAACCATTATATTATTGATATGATTATGATCCATTATAGTATAATATCGATCCATTATATTATGATATGATTACGATCCATTATATTATAATATGATTGTGATCCATTAATTAACGTATGATATGATTATGATCCATTAATTATATTATGATATGATTATGATCCATTATATTATGATATAATTATGATCCATTATTTCATAAAAGTTCCAACGTCTTTTCATTCGACTTACATCTATATATCGCGGACGCATTGCTCAAGAGCAAGGGTCAGTTAGACATAAATATATTGACTATTGTCGACCTACTTCTCTACATCGCATTTGCGTGACGAAAATTCCTCTTATTTTTTTAATCATTTCCCCCCCCAAAAAAAATTAATAAAGCCACTAAAACACAATCACAAATCAGAAAGACATAGGATGGCGATTTGCGTTGCGTATAACTTTTTAAAATTCAGAGAGGCAAGAAATCGGAAGTCATTTTCACAGACGAGAAGTGAGTGAAATGAAATTGTTAGAACATATATGGTTGCATCTAACCAATTAAAATGTGAATTCATGAAACCTATTGGCCAATCAAGTAGTACGCTAAAATTCCGGCACCGATGACGAAAGCTTATTAAGAAAATTGCCGTGAAAATATTTGGAAGACGGGGATGCATAGGTGAGAAAGGGACTGAAGTCGAAATACCAGGTCAGAACCAATGAAATTACTGACTCTTCATCATGGAACCATTGAAAGTTTATATATTTTCATAAGTGGTGTTCATTTGAATTGTTATTCTATCAAGCACGCGCACGCACACACATACATATATATATATATATATATATATATATATATATATATATATATATATATATATATATATATAATCACCTGACAATCTCGAGTTCCGTAAGCCATTAGGGTCGGAGTGGCAACACATGTACTGCAGCCGCTTTAGTAGTGATCTACTGGGCAAGATAACATAATGGAGCCCAACAACCTACAGGCTGGTTAGAATTCAGAGTATCACTTCTAGACTAGTCGCCAACCAAAAAGCAATTGTATTGAATTCCTGCGACCAAAAAGTCAAATGAAATACAATCAAAAGCAGAAAATGTCAGCATGAGGAAGAAATAAACAATACAGAGAAGCAATTAAACAATATTAAATATTACAGAAAAAAAAGGTTCTGAACTCAGAACAGGAGATTTGTGCAAATAGGAAAACATCTAATAAAGAGATTTGTCATGGTGCCACCTAAATAATTTTATCAAGCACTCTCCCCTGTTATTCACCTATAGTCCGAAATCGATTGGAATTTAGTAGAATTCTTCAAAATTTTATTAGTTATCAATTTTATCATCTAACTACTTTCCTCGGGCCAGTCAATCATGTAGTCAACACGGATCTTTCCACCTTAACTCATGATTGTTAAAAAAATGTAGAATAATTATTTTAAGTGCTTTTCGGTGCTTATAGTTCGAAGGCCTTGCTCAAAACTTTCCCCAGTTTAGTTTTACAGAGTCCTCTACCATGCAAGCGGTTGTTCACCTGCAAGCATCATGAAATATGTTTTCACACGATAGTCCTGAAATAAGATTTTTCTCATTAGGTTTTCGCTTATTTTGTTTTATTTAATTATTTTTTTATTTTTCTTTTGTTTATATTTTTGGCATTTATTTTTGCTTTGCATTAGAAAAATTTTACCACGTTATATTTTTTTTTTTTTTTAACAAATTATTTTTCGTGAAACATTTTAAAATTTTCTTACATTTTTTTAAAAACATTTTCTTGGCACAAATTGACTTTTCCTTAATGATGCTGTCGCCACATTTCCATCAGTAGAATCAGCAGCGAACACAGAGGAATTTCTGCAACGAAAAAGTCAAATGAAATACGATCAAAAGCAGAAAATGTCAGCGTGAGGAAGAAATAAACAAAACAGAGAAGCAATTAAACAATATTAAAAGTTACAGAAAAAAAAATTCTTCAGAAGTCAGAACAGGAGATTCGTATAAATAGGAAAACGTCTAATAAACAGATTGGTAATTGTGCCACCTAAAGGATTGTATCAAGCAATGTGAATCACATTAAAAAGTATCGTTACGTTGAAGGTGTGGAACTGAAAGCAAAAATGTAACATAAGAAAATTATCAAGAGTTTGTTGAAAAGATGACAACACCAACTAATTCAACAACCCGATAAAACAACCATATTTTTAGAATTTTCGTGGGCGAATAACTTTTGCCACCACCGAAAATGAAAGTTGCTGTATATATATATATATATATATATATATATATATATATATATATATATATATATATAGAGAGAGAGAGAGAGAGAGAGAGAGAGAGAGAGAGAGATAGAGATAGAGAAAAGGGCAGATAGATAGATAGATAGATAGATAGATAAATAGATATACGAATGGAAGAACAAAATCATCTGAACTCTTGTAAAAAAATATTTTATGGGAGAAAGTGCGGATAATAGCGATTTCAAAATTTTTTTATTATAATAAAATATATTTTCTAATTTTTTATAGACCACTTTTTAAAAGTAAATGCTACGAACGGTGAATTTTTACTGCATCCCGTCTTTTTCTCATTGGGATATATATATATATATATATATATATATATATTATATTTATATATATATATATATATATATATATATATATATATATATATATGTTTGGATAGATGTGAGTTTGTGACCCTGGGTTTCACGCTTTAACGATAGCGTGAAACCCATGGTCACAAACTCCCATCTATCCAACCAAATATGTTAGCTCTATCTCTGATATTGAGCGCTTTCTAATAAGTACCGCGCATATAATATATAAATAATTATACATATATATATTTATTTATATGTATATACACTTTTCACACACACACACACACATATATATATATATATATATATATATATATATATATATATATATATATATATATATATATATTACGTTAGGTAATATTTTTCTTTAGCTTTTGCAACATATCTTCTTTGCATTTCTGGGTCCCATTTTCTATTGTGCTAGTAGGATCGTCTGTCAGTTTCCGGAGAGACGACGCATCCTTGTCTTACGCCCATTTATATTTTTCTCTGTGTATTCAATTCCTTTACATACATTGCGTTCATTCTTTTCCTATCCAGTAAATGTTCTTCATTATTACATCCTTCCGAATAAATCAAGATTTTTTTAAGAATCTCTATCAAAAAATAAATAGGTAGATTTTATAATAAGTAATGGAGAGCTATACAATTGGATAGATAAAAGGACAGATATGAAAAGACTGGGATAGATAGATAGATAGATAGATAGATAGATAGATAGATAGATAGATAGATATGAAGAGACTGATATTCCACTATTAATTGATTTAAGGCTGATGAAAAAAGAGAACTGTTTGATACATAAGACCTCTTGAATATATATATATATATATATATATATATATATATATATATATATATATATATAATTTTCATAAAAATATATTATAACATAAATATGTTATAAAATCACTACAAAAATAGGCATTTTGTTTCAACACTCTCGGTTTCATATCAAGTGATGATCTTGAATATAAAATAAATGGTTTTAAATGTTGCAAATTAATTAACGATCCTTCGCTAGGGGAAAACATTGTTACAAAAGCTAGAATGACCAATCAATGATCGTTAATTAATTTGAAACTTTTAAAGCCATTTATTTTATATTCAACATCATTATTTGTTAAGAAACCAAGGGTGTTGAAACAAAATGGCTATTTTTGTAGTGATTTTATAACATATTCATGTTACAATTTTTTTTTTTATAAAAAATAATTATATCTGCTCTACTTTGTATGGAGCACTCTTTTAAGAATAGTAATTGTTGGTTATTGGAATCCATTCCGTATATACCAATTATATACCTATATATATATATATATATATATATATATATATATATATATATATATATATATATATTTAATTTCATTTACTACAAATAAATTTTCTCACTATTTACATTGTTCGAATTATCATGCTCACTTTTTTTGTTGCCATGTTTATCACAGCGTTTCTGCCGTTGTACACAATATGCCGACTGCACCTCTGTAAGACACCCCGCTCCAAAATAAGTGAGACGGCCTGGGTAAGACGATAAACTGCATCCGTGTCAGGGGTAAGAAGACAAATTACATTCGATAGGAAGGCATCTATATAGGAGGTTTTGAGAAACGTATATCCACCTCTTAAATGCTGTTGTTCCCAGGTCCATCCTGATCCTGAGTGGTAACAATTGTTAGGGCAAATAGTTAAACCCAAACAGAGTTCAAAACGCTATGAAAATGTAAAAAAAAAAAGCTTTTAATACCAGCAATATATTTTTGTTAAAATAATAACCAGCAATGAATTTTGAAGAATAAAACAATTATTTACAGCAATACATATTTGAAAAAAAATATTACCAACAATACGTTTTTGAACAAAAGTAAATATAACCAGCAATACATTTTTGAAGAAAAAGATATTACTAGCAATAAAAATCTTGGCATTAAATAACCCATTGAGATTGATATGACGTAAAACAAACCAAACCAGACCAATATATACTGAGATAGATAGATAGATAGATAGATAGATAGATAGATAGATAGATAGATAAAAAAATATTACCAACAGTAATAAAAATCTTGTCAGCATTAAATAACCCACTGAGGTTGATATGCCGTAAACCAAACAAAACTAGTCATAATGAAAATACTTTTATTTGGCCGGAACAGCTTATAGAAGAATACTTTTATGCTTCTGCTCTTTTAAGAGAAAGATATTTTCTCAGAGTTCTACTAGAAATAGTTATCTAATTTTCTACGTGTTACCATTTTATGAAATAACTAATTCATATATTGATTGACAGATAGATCTCATCAATTTACAACTGAAAATGACAGATGTTCCTTACTCAAGAAAATTTACATCAAGTCATCTCGCCAAATATTCCAAGACAATTGTCGAATTTACAGAGATCGTATCCCTCCAGAGATTCTGGCTGACACCCCCTTTGATGCTCTGTCAGTACCAGAGAATAAAGAAAAAAATCTAGAAATTCAGAGATAAAACAAAATTCACCCGATATGCCTCTACAACCGTTCCCAAGTGGTTAACCTCCATAAATACGTCCTTGTACAAAGTTTGACTAAGTTAAATCTATTTCCAACTGTTTTTTTTTTTTTTTATCCTGAAGCGATCATTAACAAGAATATAAACTGCTGTCTGCTCAGGCAGAAATCTTAAAGTTTCCAGTAAATAGGTTAGAACAAATACAGGTTTACATGTTTACGTCATGAATATGCTTTCATACGTTAGCAGTGTAACGTTGAAACTTAATATTCGGTTCCGTTTACACTGGAATCAGATGATCATTTCTTCCATAGATGAGTGACTTGATATGTTATTAATACAACATCAAGGAATTTATTGATGCTGCATCTTGAATAATCAGCCTGCCGTGATGATGTTCACTTGATTCTGGAAATCGTGTCTATAGAGTATCTATACTATTCTCAGTTAGGTTTCGATTGATAATTTAACGATATAAGCAACACTTGTTAGGATATTTTTTATCTCAAATGTAACTCGTATAGGATAAATCTAACACCGAATAAAATTAAACACAGATTGGTTTAACATTATCCTCATAAAGGTAGATATAGTTCTGAATTATACACTTTTAAAGGCGTATGTCCGATTTACGATCAGGATCAAAATGTTATATTGCCAAAAACTTATGCCTAAGATCGATTGAGACTATGGTCAAAATATTAGATATATATCCGAGTTACAAATGAGATCTGATTTAGCCCCGGCTTAAAAAAATATACATTACTCTTGTGCAAATTAAGTGAAACAAAACGAATAATTCAGTTAATATATAATTTTTTCGTATTTTTCGAATGAAACATGACCCAGTGCACATGTTGGTATTTTAGGTAATTGTGTCTGGTTGATTCTTATCTCTCAGTGCTTTCTACTTTATACTTCTTGCATTTCTTCCAGTGGACAAACGTCGCTAATTTGTTATGTCTGTGGGTATATATACAGGGGGTCCATAAAGTGTGTGTGCACTTTAAAAATTATAACTTTATTTGCGATAGAAATAATCTGTAAAAAGGATTAGAAAAATAGATAAGTAGATAGATTATTATATGAAATATATATATATATATATATATATATATATATATATATATATATATATATATATATATATATATATACAGGTTGTCCATAAGGTTCGTGTGCGCTTTAAAAATTTATAACTTTATTTGTATTTGCGATAGAAATAATCTGTAAAAAAATGTTATAAAGTTTAGTGTACCTAGTTTTAAGTATAACTAAAAATAACTAATGTGATTTCAGGCATTACTGTAAATCAGTTGGCAAATGTTTTCCGTGAACTGCAAAATCGTATTACCCTTTGTATTTTTAATGATGGAGGAAACATGTGGAAACTTAAATAAAATTTCGATAAAACCTTACAAAATATAGATTTACTTCTTTCTCATCCTGTTTACAAATTTTTTCTATCGCAAATAATAATTATATTTTTTTTAAGTGCACACGAACTTTATGGAAGCCCTGTATTTTTCTCTAGTTCCTGACATCCTGAGATAAATTGGTTGACCGTTTCATCATATCTTCCCCAGATTCTGCATCTCGGGTTAGTTCTATCCTTGATTATTTGAAAGTGATAGGATCTGATTGCGAGGCCTTGGACCTGAGCTGCAATAATTAGGTCTTCTGAATCAGCTTAAAACCCGGTACTCCTCAGCGACTGATATGCTTCCTGTTGATCCACAACGAATGAAGCAGATGTCGCATATATGACAAATAAACCCTGGATCCTTGATTGGGTTGATTGGATCTGCATGCCCTACAATTTCCCTGTGTGCCATCGTGTGCCTTCGCAGTCCAGTTGAGGATCTGGAAATTTGTCGCAAACAACACATGATGAATGAGGTTGTAAATGTTGCCTTGTTTCTGATTTTATATTTTATCTGCCCTCAACAATAACATGCGCTCACAAACACCACATATCCAAGGTTACATCTTCGTTGGTAAATGAAAGTGAGTGCCGCTTCGGAGATCAGGCTTAATTTGAGAAAACTTGAGACATTCATCCTCAAAAGCGTCGTATTCCTCTATATAAATGCCTCAACTCAGCACGATTTAAATGTTGTAATGCCCAGTGATGCACCTCCATGTGCAATAAATTCAGATTACCCTTAAGATTATATTTAAATCTCATCCTAGACTTGAGGATGCGTGCCTGTCCTCAGTTACTGTAGAAATGTTGTTTGGGATTACTATTATCCATCATTCTTTATTATTGCAGAGACATTACATATTAAATGTAAAGAAAATGTATATATATATATATATATATATATATATATATATAGAGAGAGAGAGAGAGAGAGAGAAAGAGAGAGAGAGAGTGAGAGTGGTGAGATAAAGTGTAAACACATTCAAAATAGCTTGCTTTTCTTTGGAAAGCCAATGAATAAAAAATTAAATAAATTCTTTGTAAAAAGAAATTATATTAAAAAAAGTAATAAAAATGGAAGCAAAGATTATTTTAAAGTCAAGTAAAAAAAAAAGAAAGAAAATCACTAAATTGGAAATGAAATGTAGAAAGAAATAAAGAATTTGGCAACATTAAGCCTGAATCTTTTCAATCAATGACAACAAATATACGACCAAAAAAATTATTTCTGGAATCTTCCCCATAAAGTTTTGGCTTGTAATTAGCGGTGCCAAAACTTCGGAACTCATAATTTTATTCCAGTATATTCTTTCTTTCTTTCTAAGTTCTTGAATGACTAGATGATTTTAGAAAGGTGATAAAATAACAACATAGCTGAACTTCTCCCTACCTACTTGCTTGCCTGTCTTCACACGTACACACACGCGTATACACCCTTGTGCAAAATGATTGAAACAACCGCTTTATTTTCCTTTCTTTCACCATACGATTAGCTTTAGTCCCACTAGAGTTACAGGGTGTAATCGATTTCTAATTTGTTTTGGTGTGCAGTAATATGAAACTGTTTTCGGAGTGTATGTTGAAATTTGTTTGGCCTTGAAAATATGCGTCAACCATAATTGCAACAGATTTTCATCACTACTGTCTCTGCTGTTGCTTAGTTGTCCTACAGCTATTGTCTGCGATGGACCTTACTTCAAGGAAGCGTACAAATATAGTAACGCTACAGGAATACACGGGCATGCCTTACCTGTGGGCAAATCAAAGTGATAGAGACTGGCCCAGAGACTATCCTGATTTAAATCCAATCGAGAATCTGTGTTCAATCTGCAAGGGACGACTTCGTGGAATGGACATACGAAGTATTAACATGTGCACTGGGCCATGTTTCGCTTAAAAAAATGCAAAAACGTGAATTCTTTCATATGCTGCGTTCCTTCAGGATATGGGCGATCAAGGCTCTCCAAAACCTCTTATTTCTTTGTGGCTCTTAGCAGATATTCTACATTTTATTTTCTAGTCCCCTCTTTCGTTCAACCATCCATTCACACGTGATCATCCGGGACGTGACTCGACGTGGCCAAACACTTTTGCTACGGACATCTTACCTAACGGACATTATGCCTACCAGACATAAAGCCAGAAACTCTCCTGATTTAAATCCAATCGAGAAACTGTGGTCAATCCTCAAAGAAGGATTTTCTGGAATCGACATACAAATAATAATATATGCATTGAGTCATGTTTCATTGGAAAAATGCGAAGAAAAGTAAATAATAACTTAATAATTGGTTTTGTTTCAATTGACTTGCATAAGGGTGTATGTTGATAAACGCAGGCAAGTTTTACGCAATTTCTCAAGCAACCGCTGTGAAGTTAATGGTTATTGCTAGAAAATTCGCGTGGCTTTGTTAACTCGCAAACGATTTTTAAAATAATCCAGCAAATATTTCGTCAATCATAATTGCGTCAGATTTTCATCACTACTGTCTTTGCTGTCGATTAGTTGTCATGTGGTCATTGTCTGCGATGGACCTTACTCAAAGGAAGCGTACAAATATTGTAACGCCGCAGGAACTTACTGGCATGCCTTACCTGTGAGCAAATCAAAGTGCTATAAACTGGCCCAGAAACTCTCCTGATTTAAATCCAATCGAGAATTTGTGATCAATCTGCAAGGGGCGACTTCGTGGAATGGACATACGAAGTACTAACCTGTATTCTGGGTTTCATTGGAAGAATATGAAGAAAAGTAAATAATGACGGAATTATTTGTTTTGTTTCAATTACTTTGCATAAGGGTGTTTGTTGATAAACGCAGGCAAAGTTTTATGGAATTTCCCAGGGAACTGCTGTGGAATTTATGGTTATCGTGACCTTGTTAACTCTCAAATATTTTTAAAATATCCAGCAAGACTTAATACAAATCGGCATATCTCCGGTCTGATTATTTCAAACCGCATTTATTCGGTACAGTCCATGGAAACGAATCACCCTAATTTCCCGGCGTCAAGTAAAACTAGCATTTCTGACCAAGGAACAAATGCATCTCATTAGGTGTAACGTGTATCGTGACATTGTCACGATATCATATGTAGTTCGAACTCGTTTGGGGCAACTATCTTCGGTGTTAAGCACTGACATTGACTCTGTATTAATCTTCACGTCTGTCTTCAGGACAATGCAACAAATTTGCAAGTGCCCTTTTCTTACTAAAGTTCGAATCACATCGAAAAATGTTTTCTTGTAGTAACATACCGGGTGTAACAAGCAAATTTGACCATATCGTGTATCATGATGGGATGATTGAACACCCCACAAAATGTTTAATATTTAAAAAATAAAAATAATTTAATTTCTCTTTTCCAGGTTTTCAGATGAGACATTTAGTCATCTTGACACCATTTGTCGGCAAGAAAAACTGAAAATTAGATTAGGTTTGAACCCTTGTATCTTAAAAATGATTAGAGATTTTGCTGGAATTATCCGAGGTTTTTATAACACTATTTGACACTACTTTGAACAATAAGAATGTATTTGACTCTAAGTTAAAATGACGGTCCCTCTTGTTGTTTTAACGTCTTGATCCATTTTCCCTCTCTACTGTTACCAATATTTTAAAAGCTTATTCACCGCTCTCTTGATGGTTCTTGAATTGACTTTCAAGATGGAAGCCAGAGTATGAATATTGGTGCCATTAATGAAGGCCTGAATGAACTTTGTCGTCTCACCATTGCTCAGTTGGGAAGACAATGTGTATCTGACTCAAAACGATTTCAACCCGTTCCATTTCTTGCGGAATAACTCAATGGGTATTTTCAGTTTTTCTTGTAGACAAATGGTGTCAAGATGACTAAATGTCTCATCTGAAAACCAAAGTTTCATGCTTAAGGTGTAATTCATGGAATTAATTCATTATCTTCAGGTTTGAAATTCAGTTTTCTTTATATTCAGCGGATTGATTCTCTTTTTGTTTTGTTTTTTATTTAGTCGATTCCTTATATTTACACTTTTTACATTATTCGGTCAATTGTCCTCATCTTTTTTGCCATATTTATCACAACGTTTCGGCCGTCGTACGCTCTGGCCTTCATCAGGTGTTTGGAATGACGGACTAAACTCTTTATTTCACTCAGTGGGATAGACTGTTCTAATTCCATGTGCCATGTCTAATGGATGTCAGTTATCAGTCATCCTGTTAATTCCCCTCTGCATGTTCTCCAGCACCTTAACCAGGTATTGATGTGAGTTCTCACATTCTTTGGGTCCTGACACTGGATCTAACTAACACCTTTAGCCTACTAGAACATTCTTCCCCAGCGAGCAGAAATGAAGGGTTTCGTTCGACATTCTAATCACCTGATAAAGGCCGGAGCGTACAACGGTTGAAAGGTTGTGATAAATATGGCAAAAAAGATGGGGACAATAGTCCGTATAATATAAATAGTGTACGTAATGCCGCATCTCAGAAATATAGACGGATCCTTATATTTATTTTAACGTTTCTTTTTTCGTTCTTCTTACCCTCTTTATTGCATAAAAACGCTACTGTCTGTTCATCAAAATTAAGCAAAGTCAAACCTTGATGAGTGACCGATTTGAAATACCAGGTACTGTAAGATTAAGTTGGCTGGTGTTTCATATATTATGGTTCGGAACTTAAAGAAACAAGTTCTGATTTCAGATGGGTACGTTGTATTCAAAATAGCCCTGGAAATATTATGAATCCAACTTTTTTACCCACCATCTATTGATTAATTACGAAGATTCTATCCCTAAAATCATTATTATCTAAAACAAAATCTTGCTATGTAAAAATATGTTCCGGCTTTAAATAGCCTGAAATTGTTTGATAAGCCGTAGAACACAAAATAATATGTGAGTTAAGGAATTGCTTCCGTTTTTTTTTTCAGCTTTCCCTTCAGCATTGATCTTGAATAACTGAAATGAAATGTTAAACGTTATCGTCTGCCATTTTAATTCCTATTCTTTTATGATTTTATCGCCTCAATAACGGGTTTGCTTTTTGTAAATTCTTTCAAACTTAGTTATCTCTTGAATCTTAGTGGCTACCTTGCCTTAATTGGGTTGAAATTATAAAACAGTCTTTACTACCATATCTAACACCTAGGCCAATCGGAAAGCTGTTGTCTTTCTTCAGGACAATGAGACATCATCATTCTCTTGCAAGGCACGATAGAAATTAGTGTAGTTCAGTTGACATATCCAACTACACTAGTCTTACTCATTTCACACAGGCTAGCTGTTGAGTAACACGTTACAATGCCTGCAAATTTTTTTAATGTGAATAACTACAAATTTCTAGAAGCTTACTTGGAACGTATCATCTTCCATAAAAATACCAAGAATTGAATTACAAGCCTAGCAGAAACTGCTGGAACAATTTGGCACATTTATATATATATATATATATATATATATATATATATATATATATATATATATTATTTTTTTAATCGAGTTCACCTAAACGAAGCAGTAAAAACACTAAAACGAAAGGGATTACTGGGTGAGGAAGAATTAGAAAACAGAAACATTACTAGTTATGTGTTAGGCGTGATACGGGCTTAGGCGATCCTGTATCTTTCGATACATGACTGGCGAGGCAGATTTTCCCGGAGTGGGTTGTCATTTTCTCGTGCGGTAAACCAGTTAACATCCATGTCTATAGAACCCAATCTGTACTGCTATTTACCCAAATGAAGGGAGAAGAAGATAATTCATACCTTTCCCAAGGGTTATAGTACGTATGTGAATATCAGTCAGTTATGTGCCATGCGTGATACACGTTTAGGCGATCATGTATCTTTCGAGTTTTCACCCATTAGGTTGTCATTTCTTTGTGCCTTAGAGCAGTTGCGATACAAGGCAACAGAACCCTATATGTCCTGCTATTTACCCATATGGAAGAAGAAGATGGTTCATACCTTTCCCAAGGATAGTACGTATGTGAATATCAGTCAGTTATGTGCCATGCGTGATACACGATTAGGAGATCATGTATCTTTCGGTACCTGACTGACGATTCAGATTTTTCCCGCAGTATGTTGCCATTACTTTGTGCGGTAAACCAGTTGCCATCCAAGGCTACAGAACCCAGTCTGTCCTGCTATTTTACACATAGCTGGATGAAGAAGAAGAGGATTCATACCTTTCCCAAGGGTATTAGCACGTAAGTGAATGTAAAGGATTCGACGAGAATTCGAATTCGACTCTACGATTCCTCAATCCGAACCGCTATCCACTACTCCAACAGAGTAAAAACAAAAGAAGACTAATCAGAAGATAGCGATTGATATTGCATTTACATTCTTGAAGATTAATGTTGACTGAGAAGCACGGAATTGGGAGAGAGTTCCACAATATATGGATATATAGAATTGTATATGTTGTTTTCCCATGGCATTCTATGTATAGAGGAATCTGACAGGGGAAAATGCAAACAGATAGATGGAAAATAGTTTCATTCATCATTCACACATTTTTTAGCTCTGTTTCAAATTCATTCTTCCAAAAATAACGTACAGTTTATTTTAATCAATTATATGTATTACCATTATCTGCAGTGGCTTGCTGACAATGATCAGCCAGCTACCCGATACCTTCAAGTAATATTCCTCAGGTTTTAATACGAAAAACTTTTCCGCCAATTTGTGAATCTGGTTTTAATTCTAAAAAAATCAACATCAAAAGATTTTGCTTCGTTAAAAACTGAATTAACTGGTTCCAGCAAAATTATGTGATTGCTGGGAATTGGAAAGAACTGACCAAACTAATTTGATTTTATTTCTTCAGCTTTATATTTGTTGGCTATGGCTTGAGTTGCCATCGAAGAGAATCATATTTTCCTTTCACACTGTGTATGCTTCTAATGTCGGGCAAAAGCTATGGAATTTTATATGATCCGATTGATTACAATTTTCCACGGACACATAAAGCAAATTAAACTACGATTACCTGCATGAAGAAGGATCTTCATTCAAAGTGTATCCTGTGTATATAGCGGTATTAGAAGGGAAACTTCTTCTTTAAGCTCCTTTCAAAGAACTAAATTATTGATTTGACCAATTAGACCAACTGATGATAATAATTGACAAAAAAGAAAAACAAATTACTTACATGAAAGGATGTAAAATTCAATCAGAATAATGCTAGACCAGAGGTTTCTTTAGTTACCAGAAAATAATTGTTAGAGTTCAGCTTGGAAGTCTGTCTATATTTCTGATATGAGGTATTATGTACATTATTTACATTATTCGGACTATTGTCCTCATCTTTTTCGCCATATCTATCACAACGTTTTGGCCGTTGTACGCTCCGGCCTTCTTCAGGTGGTTGGAATATCGAACTGAACCGTTTATTTCGCTCACTGGTGTAGACTCTTCTAGTTCCACGTACCATGTTTGATGGATGTCAGTTATCACTTATCTCCTGTTAATTTTCCCTCTGAAAGTTCTCCACTGCCTTAACCGGGTATTGAACTCACACTCACTCCTCAAGGACACATGGCACAGTGGTTAAAGTCGTTGGTTAGATCCAGTGACAGGACCCAAAGAGTGTGGGATGGACTATTATCCCTTGCAAAAACGGTTTGGACAAATTTACTGTTAAACCCGGTACATATATGTAAAGCTGTAAAAAAGCACACATCAATACATATATCTATATGTGTATATCTATATACCTATAATTCGCAGTGTTTAACTTATACTAGAAGATAAGTCATTTATGATAATTCTTGAAATATTTAATGGGTATAATGCACAGGATATACACAGTTTATCGTTAGCGCTCACACAACCGCCTTCAGTAACACTCTATCAAGAGAGGCACCTGAGGCCTGTATGAACACTGCTGTAAAAAATAGATAGATAGATAGATAGATAGATAGATAGATAGATAGATAGATAGATAGAAAGAAAGAATAAAAATACTCAGATAGATAGATAGATAGATAGATAGATAGATAGATAGAATAAAAATACTTAGATAGATAGATAGATGTGAACAAAACGAGAAAGAAAGAAAGAAAGAAAGAAAGAAAGAAAGAATGAAAGACTAAAAGTACTTAGATAGATAGATAGATAGATAGATAGATAGATAGATAGATAGATAGATAGATATGGCTGGACTAAGATAGATAGATAGATAGATATATAGATAGATAGATAAAAAGTATATAAATACTTACATAGATGTGAACAGATTAAGATCGACAGATATATAGATGTGAACAGATTGTGATAGATAGATAGATAGATAGATAGATAGATAGATAGATAGATAGATATGGACAGACTGGGATAGATAGATAGATAGATAGATAGATAGATAGATAGATAGATAGATAGATAGATAGATAGATAGATGTGAACAGATTCAGATCGATAGATAGAGAAATGTGAACAGAATGAGATAGATAGATAGATAGATAGATAGATAGATAGATAGATAGATAGAAAGAAAGAAAGAATAAAAATACTCAGATAGATAGATAGATGTAAACAGATTGAGATAGATAGATAGATAGATAGATAGATATGGACAGACTGAGATAGATAGATAGATAGATAGATAGATAGATAGATAGATAAAAGGTATAAAAATACTTACATACATAGATGTGAACAGATTAAGATCGACAGATATATAGATGTGAACAGATTGAGATAGATAGATAGATAGATAGATAGATGTGAACAGATTCAGATCGATACATAGATGTGAAAAGATTCAGATCGATAGATAGAGAAATGTGAACAGAATGAGATAGATAGATAGATAGATAGATAGATAGATAGATAGATAGATAGATAGATAGATAGGCGTAAATAGTTACACCTGAACAGATATATGTATACATGTATATCTGTATGCCTAAATATCGCCTTGTTTAAATTAAGTTTATGGATACGCAATTTACGATGTTTCTTGGAACTTTTTAATGGGTATAACCTCCTTCCACTGCGTATTTCTTTCATCATTCCTTGCTCTGCTTTTCCACTCTTCTCCAACACTCACGTCTCATTTATCGATGAGAAACTCGCTTTAAATTAGCACAATCTTTCAACCCCAACCCTAACACCTGTCGATATCAATAACTCTTTAAAAAGTCAGAAAAAGCCACGGGTTAAAATAACGCCTCGTTATACATTTCATAAGTCACGTGGCACCGTCAAAGTTAACTTTGGAATATGATACTAATGATAGCAGCTGACATGTTCCCGTATGATTTCAATACCTGGTGCCGAAGAGAGTGGGTGTTGAAGAGGGTGTTGGCTGATTGGGGGCTATTTCTTTAATGACTAAACCTACCCGGCCACAACATCCTCACTGGCAAAAGCTAATTGACTTTGAGTTCTAATCAAATATTATGTGGTCTTTATACTAAATTTGGCGCGCGAACTATTTCCGATGTTGATGTCGATAAATGATTGGCTTGTTTATAAAGACTTTCTCAAAAATACTGACGATTGTGTGTATATATATATATATATATATATAGATATATATATATATATGAAGATTCGAATATATTTATTTTCGTCAAATATGATATCATAATATATGCCTAAAAACTAACGTACAGACTTGTGTCTCTACATATAGAGAAATATATATATATATATATATATATATATATATATATATATATATATATATATAGATATAGATAGAGAGATAGATAGATAGATATATCCATCTGGATTCGAACTCGACTCTGCGATTCCACAATCCATTATATTCACTTACGTGCTAATACCCTTGGGAAAAGGTTTGAATCCTCTTCTTTTCCCGCCAGCTATGGGTTAAATAACAGGACAGACTTGGTTCTATAGCCTTGGATGGCAACTGGTCTAGGAGAAGGAAAACTCTGAATTCCAAACCTGCGGAGGGTCGTTTGTGGACCTTATGACACTTAGTGCACCAGGTCTCTGTATTCGGCCCTCAAAAAAGTGTGGATGATCCTGCACGAAGCCTTCACCAATATAATCGAATCTCATGTGCCGGTGTCGGGCTGTCAGTTTCCTGGAAACTGATCTGCTTGACCCTCATACGTCGAACCCGACGGGAGAATCAATTTATATATATATATATATATATATATATATATATATATATATATATATATATATATATATATATATATATAAATTTGAATAGATAAATATGAATATTCAGATAGTTAGATAGATATGAATATTCAGATAGATGAATCGAAAGATAGATATGATTATTGAAATATATATATATATAGATTTAATATGAATATATATATATATATATATATATATATATATATATATATATATATTTCAATAATCATATCTATTTTTCTATACAACTATCTGAATATTCATATATATATATATATTTAACCATCTGAATATTCATATTTATCTATTCAAATTTATCTATTGTATATATATATATATATATATATATATATATATATATATATATATATATATATGAATACTGAAATAGATAGATATCGCCGGCAAGAAAGATATAAATTCAGTTTTATATAGATCATTTTATATAACTAGAAAAGCTGTCTATATTTATTTCGATGATTCTGATGTTCAAATCTGAAACAATTCATAAATATCTGTATGAATATATGCGTTTATCTGATCTATCTTTTTATCTATCTCTCTGTCTTACTTTCTCTTTATCTATCAATCGATGGATGGATCGATCTATGTATCGATCTGTTTATCCCTATCTATCTATCTATCTATCTATCTATCTATCTATCTATCTATCTATCTGTCTGTCTGTCTATCTATCTATCTCAGTTTATTAATATCTATTTATTTCAGACTATTCATATCCATCTATTTCATTTTTCATATTTATCTATCTATCTATCTATCTCATTTAATTGATGTCTATCTGTCTATCTATCTTTCTCATTCAATTGATATCTATCTATCTATCTATCTATCTATCTCACACAAGTGATATCTATCTATCTAGCTAGCTAGCTATCTCAATGTGTTCATATCTATCTGTCTATCTATTTATTTGTCTCAGGTTATTGATATCTATATATTTCAGTCAATTTATATCTATCTTCTTCGATTCATAACAATCTATCTATCTATTATTTTACTGTAAAATTTACGAGAACGCCTATTTAAAACGCTGACGTATATACAAATTCCGGTCGAATCTGTTCCATTAACTTCGCATTAATTGCTTTCGAAAAGTCATGAATTGTCCTTCGTCCACTTCGGTGTTAAATAGCAGGACAGACTAAACTCGCTTGCCTTGGGTAATAGCCAGATTAGGAGACGGAAAAATCTTGATTCAAATTTATGATACGCTGTCTGGTACCCTCATGGAAATATAAGGATCATAACGCTGTTATGAAAAGTGTTCTTCGAAAAAAAGTTGTCATATTTTAGCAGACTTGCTGATTTGTGACGAACGTAGCGGAAAAGTGTAAACCTTGGCCGAATCAGCATTCGAAAAGTGAAGCGATTTATCTATTGGCTAAACTGATTATTTTGTTCTGGTTATTGTATGTAAACAAAACGAGAGAATAAAAGGTTTTTTTTTATTATTATTATTTTCTTATACACATTTGGACTCAAAGAGTCATTGTAATCTCTGCAAGGCTTTCGTTAATTGCATAATAATTTTTTGGACAAAGAAATATTTGTAATTCTACTAGAGTGATCGTCAACCAAGGCTGAAAAGCCCAGTCCTCCCAATTAATTAATTAATTACTCCCTAATTCATAGTTTTGGGCAAAATATATTTCCTCACACCTTTCCAAATATATCACTTTTCAACAATCTCTGTGCATGTGTACATATATATATATATATATATATATATATATATATATATATATATATATATATATATATATATATACATATAATGAACATAAAGATGAGAACGATATTAAGAAAAAACTCTAAATATGAAATAATTTTTTATTTTAAAGCTTCGAATAGCATTTTAGCAAGGAAAATAAGGATATAAAGGTAAATTATATAATTACAAAATATGAAGCTCAATAAACTTATTTTAATAAAGTTATAAGAATATTTATACAACATTCGAAAAAAATAGATGATCAAAAAAATCAGAAAGATTAAATAAATCCATAAAATTTAATAATTATTTTGCATTATTAAAAATCTTTAAGGGTACTAATATAAAATCGGGTATTTTACTATACTACACCGACTCATTACTGGATCTTGCATTGTAAACATGGCGAAAAAATCTATGACGTCATTGGAACTTAGAAAACTGATAGTCAAGTTACGTATTGAAGATAGACTCTCCATTGGGGATATTTCAAAAAGTGTGGGGAAATCTAAAAGTGTTATTCATAGTATTTTAAGAAAACTTAAGGAAACTGGGTCATGTGAAGCCAAGAAACCACCTGGCAGGTCTAGGAAAACTACTGCAAGAGAAGACAGATGGATTGGTAATGAATCAAAAAGGATCGATTTGCGACAGCAATCGCTATTTCTAAAAGAGCTAATGTAAATCTTGGCATTAAGATATCAAGGCCCACTATTTTTCCGAAGACTTAATGAAATAAATCTGAAGAGTCGAGTAGCCTCTACGAATCCTTACATTTCTAAAAAGGATCAAATGACTGAATGATTGAAATTTGCCACTGAACACGTCATATGGACAGAATAAGAGTGGGATTGTGTTCATTTCAGCGATGAGTCAAAGTTTAACATATTCGGTTGTGGCGGGAGATGGTTCGTTCAGTGCATTAAAACATCGTTAAATTTGGAGGAGGAAGTGTGATGGTGTTTGGCATGATTTCAACTGCTGGTACGGGACCTTTAGTTAGGCTTCACGGTAAAATTAACGCAACTGTATATAAAGAGATATAGAAGAAATATGGTGTAACTAATTTGAGAACTGCAATTAATCAAACAGCTAACGCGCCGTTTCACACAGAGAAGTCTGTTAAGACGTTTCTTTCTGAGGAAGATGTTACTGTTATGGAGTGGCCTACTCAAAGCCCACGCATTTGGAAGTTACTAAATGAAAGAGCTAAGAAAAAGAATCCAACAAAGGTCGAAGAACAACGGACTAATTTGAAATGAGAATGGGAGAAAATATCCGTTAATAAATGCAAGATATAAATTCGCTCATGTAGCAAAAGTTGTCAAGCTGTTATTGCAAGTAAAGGTTTACACATCAAGTACTAATGAATTATGAACGCTGTTAATCGTTCTGATGTTTTTGATCATCTCTCTCTCTATATATATATACATATATATATATATATATATATGAATATGTATGTATACATATATGTGTGCGTATAACTATATGTACATGTTTATATATGTGAATGTTTGTGTATATATGTATTTGTTAGTGTGTATGTGTTTGTGTGTGTATATATATGAGCGTATGTTTGTATAAATATTTGTGTTTATATGCATATATATGTATATAGAGGTGGGTGTGTATATCCATATATATGTGAGTGTGTGTATATATATATATATATATATATATATATATATATATATATATATATATATATATATCCGAATTGTCTGTGGTGTGTATATGTCACCACGAAATGTATCTTTATGTATTAGACATCCGTCGACTTTTCTTTTCTCCTCTTTTTAAATCCACCCCACCCACATCTCCAAAAATTCTCTCTGTTTCACTCACTCCTCCTCATACTTACACTTTCTCTAAATTCTGTTTTGATTTCCGGAGTTGTTTTTTTCTGTTTTCATTTTGAATTTGTAGGTCTGATGATTTGGATCGTATTTACGATTCCAATGGAATAAATTATGACCATGGAATATTAGTGTTTAAGCCTTTTATTATATCCTTACTCTGTCCTAGACATTGAGTTCTACCTGGATCCTTCCTCTTGGAAAATTTTTTTTCTGAAAATATACATGTATGGATTTTTTTTTTAGATATATTTTTCATATGTATGTATATTTTCCACTAATATTATATATATATATATATATATATATATATATATATATATATATATATATATATATATATGTGATGCTGTATTGACATATACACATGTTTAAATCTGTGTGTTTAAATGTATGTGGGTGTAAATATATACAATTGTACATATACGTGTGTGCCTGTTTGTAAATATACATTTGTTTGTAAATATATATGAGTGTAAATATATAGATATATACAACTGTGTATATACGAATACCTGTGCATGTATATACACACACACACACACACATATATATATATATATATATATATATATATATATATATATATATATATATATGCGTAAAGTATATATATATATATATATATATTTTTGTC